TATTTATTAATTAGAAATATTATATGTATAATTGTTGATAATTGATCATAAAAATAAATTAATTAATAATTAAATTAATTACTAGATTGAAAACAATTATTATATTAGTTTAAAAAATATTAAACAAACAAAAAACTGTTTGATTCATTGATTATTTATTATAAAATTTAATTAAAATTTATTATTATTAAATATATATATATATATTATATATTATATATCAATTATGCAAATATCTAATATATATATATATATGTTTATTGATTTTATCAATTATTGGTTGTTGTTGATTATTGACTGTTTAATAATTATGGGAAATAAAAATTATATATAAAATAAATTATATATAAAATTAAAATTCAATATATTATATGCTTATCAAACATGATTTAGAGGTTTTGACAAACAATTATTATTGCTATAAAAATTGTTATATAGTCTACTCTAGTATACCGTATAATATAATTTATAAATACCGATATAATATGCCTACCGGTGCTCATGATTTCAATTGTTAATAATAATAATAATATATGATATATTGATATATTGTATAATTAACTTTTACATATACATAGACATGAATTATTATTATTTTTTTGTTTAATGTAATATTGATTACATTATACACAGATATATAATGTTTAATGCATTTAATATATTTAGTCAAATCTAACTAAACTAATTTCAAATAGGTAAGGGTAGCTACTGATAAACTATACGGGCAGTCATATATATATATATATATATATATATATATATATATATATATATATATATACATCAATAATACCAATGTGTTTAATATTATTTGAAATATATTATTATGTCATAGCCCGGTGAGGCCGGTCAGGCATGACATCAAATAATTTAGTTTTTTTAAATATTATTATTAGTATTAATATTATTTTTTGTTTTACTATATGTGTAGTATTATATACAGTCTATCATATATTTTTGATATTTGATGGCATTAGCATTTGTAATAATACAACAACAAAAATAATATAATATATTATATTATAATCGATGCCATTCAACAACAACAACATATATACTAGTAATACAATATTAGTAATAATAAGTTATTATAAATAAAAATAGTATTTTTTTAGATCTATGTTTATGTTGTGTTTGTGTGTTTGGATATTCAATATTACATATCCATAGCACATACATACCTATGTATGTATCAGTATATAAATTTGATATACAAAACATTAAATAATAGACTCATCTATTAGCACAGGTATGCAATGGCATGACTGTATATACACGTATAAAAATTATATGAATGAGTGAATGAATGAATGAGAGGGATAGGGAGGGAATGGTTACTGTCATACATGTGCGGCAAGTTTTTGATGGATTTCTCACTCGAAATATATAAAAAAAAATATATATATAATATAAAGAATAGGTATATATATATATATATATATATATTTGTAGGGCTGAGCTCTGAATTTACGATAATTATAATGTATTAGCGTTTTTCAATCGATTATATAATAATAATAATAATAATAATATACTATACTTTATATAACATATACACTGTTATATAAAATAAATTTGTAGAATAATTGTGAGTGTATTAAATGTATAAAAAAAATTTTTTTTATATATATATTATAATCTATAATAATAATAAAACATAATTTTCTATTTTATTTTAATATTAAACACGAAAAGATATATTTTTATATTATTTAATACATTTTAAAAAATTTATATATAAAAATTTATATTGAATTTTACTAACAAATAAACTATTTTTTTGTGTAGATATCATATGTATATTCAGAGATACAGGGGTTGAGTAATGAGATTACATAATAACCGGTGCTATTATTGAGAGAGAAAGAGAGAGAGAAAGAGAGAGAGAGAGAGAGTAATAGCGATAAATAAAAATGAAATAAAATATTTTAATCTATTATTATTATTATTATTATTAAATACAGTAGTAATAAACAGGTTTTTATATTGAATGGTAACAAAAATATTATTTAAAAATAACTTAGTAGTCATCACTTTTGTGTAAACTATAAATTAAATGTCTAATAAATTGATTTAGATTTTTTTTTGTTTTGTTTAGATTATATTATTTTAAAAACTATATGTAAACTAATATACAGTATAATAATTTATTTATTAGTCAAAAAATAGGGTATTCCTAATTAGATAGACAATACACACACAAACACACACACAATGTATATTTAAATACATGCAGTATTAAATCAATAACATTTAAAAAAAACATACCGATTCCTAAATAATATAAATATATTATCTGTAACATATTATAATGTAATATCACATTGTTATTTGAAAATAAATATATAATTTTTTGTAATTATAAATATATACAGTATAAATAACTTATGGCTTATGTATGTAATAGATGGTGACGCGGACTAAAAAAGTGTTTGTCGGCGGACTATCGGCACCGACAACATTAGATGACGTGAAAAATTATTTTCAACAATTTGGACGGGTATGTGCTTGTTTATAATAATAATAAACTTATTTTATTTCAAAAATATATATATTATTATTATTTATTATATAAAAACAATGCTTAACAAACAAACAAAAATATTTAGATTTTTATTAATATTTTTTTTTTTAAAATGCATACTATTTTGATTATCATTATTATTATTATTGTAATATATTTTGCAATAAAATAGCAATCATATTAAATTTTGATGTCACAATATTATAGTTAATTATTACTATTGATATATCATTGAATTTTTTTATTATTATAAATATTAAAACTTTTTTTATATAAAAAAAATTACATTTTTATAAATTATTTTTTTTTATTACTAAGTTTTATGAAAATATAGTTATCAATATTTTATTTTGTATAAATACAAGTTTATTTAATCATCATTGAATTATTTTAACAATATTATTTAGTCTATATGATGATATAAATAATATTTATATCATATTAAAAATTATTTTTTATTATTATAATAAAATCATGTAAAATAAAAAAAATCATTTAATACATTAATATACTTAAAGATTTAATAATTTTTTTTATTATTATATTTAATACTGTATAAGCAGTTTAAACATTATATAAAATACATTATATGATAATAAATAATGGATTGTAATATTAATAATTTTTTTTATATAAAAAATCATAATTATCATAAAAATTTTAAACATTTTTTTCATCTCTCTTTTTCTCACATAAACATTGAATTCATGTTTTTTGAAAAGTTTTATATTTTTTTTGTTGTTTAGTATTTATAATAAAACCCATTATTAATGACTTAACACATATATTCATTAAAGGGTTTGTCGTGTATTTTTTTTTGGTTACTGGTGCCGGTATACTCTAATATAATGATTAAATATATATATATATGTATATATATAGTTTTATTATTAATACCAGTATTCATAAAATAAATGATGATATATCATATATTTATATATATATAATATATTTATACATAGTAATAGATAATATTATAAATATAATTAATCTTATTTTTTTTGTTAAATTATTTTTTTTGATAGTATAATAATCATAAGTCAAATATAATAGTTATTATTTGTTGTTGTTTGTTGTAAATTAAATAATAAAATAATATATTAATTGTCAATTTAGTGGTATTTTTTTTATTCAATAAAAACTTTGATTTTTTAAATAGAAATATAAAACTCATATTTTTTATGTATACTTTTAATTAACAATTTATTCAATTTTGTTTAGTATTACTGTTTAATATAAGATCATATCTGGAAAACAAATGTTTATGTCATATGAAATGTTGCAGAAAAACAGTAAAAATAATTAAATGAGGAAAAAATATGATTTTTTTCATTATTTAGTTTACATATATATATATACACACACAGTATATTAATTATTAATATATTTGAAAACATTATCAAAAAAATATTTTTTAATTAATTAATAAATTAATTAAAACATAAGCCATAATTTACTAACTTTAAAAAACAATGGTTAACTATACATATTTATAAAATAAAATAACCATTGTTTTACTGTGTGTTCACTAAAATATAAAATAATATAAAGAAAAAAAAGAAAAAAAATTTCATTTTAAATTATTTTTTGTTTCAATTTTATTTATTCTAATAATTTTCTATATGTTTAGCCAAAAGGCATATTATTAATAATTATTTTTTTGGTGGTTATGTTTTAGTATAAACCACTAACTTTAAAATAAAAAAAATATTATAAATATTGTATATATTATTAATAAAAAGTACTTAAATGACATAACATTTGTGTATTTTAGTCATATATTTCAGATATATTTTTTTAAACCTAAAAACTACAAATAAAAAAATTTTAAGCAAATATAAAATCCTAAATAAATAGCATATATTTTATTTAACTAACAATATTATGAACCAATCATGTGATTACTGTTATAACAATTTATAAAATTGATTTTCTAGATATAACATATTTATTATTTTAAAAAAAAACTAAAAAAATACTTCAAATCATTAGTATTATTATTATTTATAATAACTAATTAAAAATGTGTTTGAAAAAAATAATATAATGTTAATAATAATAAATTTATGCATTTTATTTATCGTGCAAAACATATATATAGTATTTATTTTATTTTTTTGTAATTATTTTATGTTGATTTAGACGCTATTAATTTTTTAAAAAAATTTTTTTTACTTAAATCATAAATGACAACAACAACAACAAGATATTACAGTAAAACTATCAGTAATATTAATTATTAATATATATATGTATGTGTTTTTTAACAGCAATAAAACAAAATACCAAAAATAACAGATAATATACACCACCAAAAAAAAATATATTATTAGTTAATATATGTTTTAAACAACAGTGGGTTAGAAAACATAACTACACTTAAAAAAAGTGATATAACGATAAATTTTATTTAAACATTTTTAATGTCACTGATAATGTGTTCATAACTTAACTATACATAAATTTAATTTGTTATTTTAATTGCATTGCTTTTTGCGACTAACTTTATATATATATATATATGTGTGTGTTTTAGTTATGAGTAGATCTACATTTAAAAAATAATGTAATATTTTATTTATTTATATATTGTATATGTGTTTATACAATTGATAAAATAGTAATAATAATAATAATAATAACTACAAAATGATAATATAGGATACAACAGGAAACACAGTTATTACTTTTAATATACAATATATTATTATAACTATTTATTATTATATTTTAAAAATAAATTTATAGTTTCTATATATATATATATATATGTTTGTGGATTATGTGACAGATATATATCTATCTCTCATTTTTTTCTACTTATAAAAAATGTTTTACATTTTTTACTTAGTTTTTTTTAAATGTTTTTTATGTTGAACTACAAAAATGTCTAAAAAATAGCAAACAACAAAAATTAATGACAAATGTATATTTTTTGAAAGTTTACTATTAAATATAAAAAATAATAGATTAAAAAAAATAATCCACAATTATTTTCGTTAAAACTTTTGATATAATTTTTAAAATAGTTAATTAAAATAAACACACACACATATAATATTATAATATACTATATTAAATAATCATATTTTTTTGGTACATTAATATTATTTTTATTAAAGTTATTATTATTTTTAAATATTATGATAGATATTAATTGCTTGTTATTGTACTTTATATTAAAATTTCATAATTATACAACAAAATGTTTTTAAAAAAATAATAACTTATTTTTAGATTATACAATGTTTAGTATACAGTTGAAATTTTTATTATAAATTACTAAACCGTGTATACAACGTGTGYAAGTGTTTATACATATAAATATAAATATTACAAATGATGAGACAGTGAAAAAAATTAAACAAAAAAATCTAAATATTTTTATACAGAATATTCTGTTTCCTATTTGAATCAAATCCAAGATATGTTAAAAATTTTTGTCGTTTTTAAAGTCTCTCTTAATGTTAATTATAATAACGTTTTTAACATTTAGTGTTTTGTTGAACTTTTCATTACTMTCTCTCTCTCTCTCTCTCTCTCTCTCTCTCTCTCTCTCTCTCTCTCTCTCTCTCTTCTAAATATATACCATATATCATGTCATATATATATATACAGTATATACACAGTATATATATGATGTATTGAAATATTACTTACTTTTAAAATAATTAGTACAGTAAATATCCATTTACTTTGAAATAGAGGGAAAAAATGGATGACATTTAATATAGTATTTTTTATATCTTATAATGTTTAGTATAATTAACAAATAATAAATTATATTTTTTATAAAACAAAAAATAATATAAGATTATTTTATTGTTGTTAAAACATACCTAAAATAATGCTAAAATAATAAATTAATTAAAAATAATAATAATACGTATTCTAACTATATATATATATATATATATATATATATATATAAATAATTTTGTCAGATTTAAATATTGAATCTAATGTTTATATAAATATATTGTATGATTAGTTATACAAATATATATGTGACTACAGTTGCTATCTATAAATAATAATTGTTAAGAAAATTAAATTGTTATATACTGTATATATACTGTATATATATAGTAGATATTTCTAATTACATTAATATACAATGTGTAGTATAGAAGTAATATAATCTATTTATTCTGTAGTATAATATAACATGACTTTTAGGCTAAATAAATAGCCCAACATTTAAGACACACACACATATAAATACATTATACTGTATTTAATGTTCATTTAATTAATTGCTATTTTACTATTAGTGTAATAAACTTTATTTGTATGAAATTTCATAGTAATACTACTTTTACTATACATACTATGATATATATATATATATATTTATATAAAATACTGCTACAGTTAGCAAAAAATAAATAAATACACATTTAAGTATATATATGTAGATTTGTGATTTTATATAAATGTTTGAATACATTTTTATTTTATTGCAATATATAAGTGAGTGATAAAAAGTCAATATCAGGAAAAACATAGCCGAGACTTAATTAATTGTTTTTAATAATTAACTACAAATAATAATATTAATAAAACGTTTTTTTAATGATTTATAAAAATAGCCTTATTATAACTAACTGTTGTTTTGCATTACTTTGCATTACATAAATACATATATAATAACATTTACATTATGTTTATTAAGTGCTTTTTWTWGTATTAGTGTTATAACAATATTGAAAATACATACTGTATATACTTAATAAATATACAGTATATACAGTACATATAAATAAATATATTTATTTATATATTAATATATAGTTTAGTTTAATACTATATAATACATAATTTAATGAGAATAGGCATCGATTTAGTCCAAACAATATGATAAGCAAATAATATGAGATATCGTTTTTTATTGTTATTAATAATTGATTAATACTAGAGTACAGTATATATATTATATATATATGCAACTTATAGTTAAATTATACTTTATTTTA